TTTTTTTGTGAAACATGAGATGAAAAATGAAATTTAAAATGAACAAAATGGAGAATGTCACATGAGATGAACATGAAAATATATTTTGCAATGCATGAGATGGAAAATGCGATACAATGGGCATATAACATGTGAAATTTTCAAGATATATGGAAGATTTAATGTGAAATGAGTAGGATATGTGAAACAATCATGAACTTTTTTTTTTTTTTTAATGATGCATGGGGTTGAAAATGAAGATACGAAGTGCATGGAATCCTCCTTACCTCAAGAATGATGTCTAAATGCAAAAGATGAATAACTAATCATACCTCAAATGTATATAAAAATGAAAACCTATCATATGCGGAGACAAAGTTAGTGAAGAAAAATGCCCCTTCTTGTGTCTTAGACACGGGATCCCTAACCTCACAGGTGGGATGCTAAGGAAACATGTCCTAGGGTTGGTATCTCCTTAAGGCCACTACATGTTTTCCTAAAGGGCATTAGGCTTTCTCAACCATTTATCCTTTTGGAATCAACGGGAGACATTTCCAAAAGTTAATACACAGAATGATATTACATCATCAAGTGTCGTATTAACCAATGGAAACAACCTAACGGGAACTGATCTTACTCCTCAAAGCGGGAAGAATTGCTCTTTCAAGCCAGATTCGTAAGGATTCCAAACTAGAGGTCGGGTTCACCTCAAACACAGACCTAATGCAAATGAGAGTGAGTGTGTGCAAGGGGCATGACACTCCAATAACCTGCACAATGGCAACCACAAAAATAACAACATATATTCCACGGCAATCAAATAAAGCATGTAAAGCACTCAACAAATATATCATCCACAAACAAACCTACTTACACAGTAGGAAGGGACTCACCTCGTACTCCCATGCCAAATGCAAAAGGTTAGTAACACTAAGCAACCAACACTTAGCATGCAACAAGATATAAATAATCACACAAGAGGGAAGAGACTCACTGAGTACTCCATAGCCAAGTGCAAAAGGTGAGTATACCCACACACAAGCAAATAGGCATGTAAGCATGATGCATGATGATTAAGCATATAATATCAATAATGCATGAGCATGTGAGATGATATGATGCATGAACATGTTAGCAAAGTATGATGCATGTCATGATATGACAAGATAATCACTCAAAGACAAAAATGATCAAAGCAACCACTAAAACAATGAGCAAACACGCAATAAGCAACCAACAAGAAGCAACATGCAACAAGCACATGCAATAAATAACAAAGACCCACAAAAGACTCAACAAACAAAGAAAAATCAAAAGTTGAAAATTCCCCAAAGTTAAAGTATTAGCTCGACCCTCGTGAACCTAGAATATGGAAACCAAGGATTCTAGCTTCAGTCCCCAGTGGAGTCGCCAAACTGTTGACGACCACTTAAGATTTTTTCAAAACAATGAAAAATCCAATGTGAAAATATAAAAGAAAAGGGGAGTCGCCACTCGTCCAAATTATAAGG